TCTTCGTTGTGCTCCACTGAGCCGGCTTGGCAACCCCTTTCTCTCTCTCTCTCTCTCTCTCTTGGAGTCTCTCTCTGTTTACATTGTGAGGAGTAGCCATGGGAACCAAGGCGGCGTCCTAGCCGGTCTCCCTTCCAGGCTCTCCTCCTGCCATTCCACCTGACCCGTCCACCTTCGTGACTCAGCTCCAGTGACATTGCATTTGCATGTGACTGCCGTTAATTGCTGTAATTCCCGCCCTGGACGTCGCCGGCACATAATTGCACTCTCCCGCTCCGAAGTCCTTTCTCTTCCTGTACAGTTTCGTGCCAGGCTTTCCTTGTTCTTCCTTGGCTTCCTTCACTTACATGCAAACTTCGAGTGGTTTTTTGGGGCATGCTTTCTTCGGTTTTTGCTTTCCTTCCGACACTTTTGACTTACTTTATGGCCTGGTCGATTATGCCCGCCTTATCGGGCTTTAAATATGTCAAAATTTCTACAAGGGGTTGGAATTCCTAATGTTAATTTCAGATGGAAAATACATTTTCTTTTCTTGTTTTGGGATAATATCTTTTATCATACAATGTATAGCAGGAGTTGGAAAAGACATATGTTTTTAATTTTTGAAATAACTATTATGAATGTTTTCAGAACAATGATTAATTGAATATTGCTTTTTTATTTTAAATATATATGTACACAGAAACAACATTATTTAGAGAACACAGGGAATCAGGTGATTATTTATCGGGTAAATGAGATAATCCAAGTTGTCCAGACAGTCTACTTTGTAAGTTATTAAAAGAAAGAAATAGATTCTTAGACAAGTATTAAACAAAATCAAATTAAAAGAAAAACCTATGTTCTATGTTAGCTTACGCAAAGATAAAAAGAATACAAAAAATGTGTTTCTAAGAATTAATTTATCTTAAAGATAAGGAAGCAATTAAGAGCTATGGAAAGATGACTTTTTTATTACCGAAATTCCTATAACAGAGATCTTAGTTTAGAATTGGCATACCTATTCTCCAGCCTCTGTAAGAATAAATAAAGTTTTTTTATCGAATCTAACTTGCAGAAAGAAATTATAAATATAAGAAGCATTCTTATATTAATGAAAAAGTGTACACTTTTCGCAAAAGGAGCATTATTTTCGCATCACAAGTACTTGGCAACTTAGTTATCATATTTACTTAACCTGAACATGAAAGGTATATTGTTTGGCTACGAATTACATTCAAACTCTGCTTACAATTAACTAAAACTTTTACATAGTAAATTGGCTAGGATTACAGTTCGGTGTGTTTGGGTTTGTTGAACAATCTTTCGCACAGTTTGGCCAAGATCTGTGACACCTCCAATCGGTACTCGTCCTTGGTGTTGGCATATCGGTTGCGAACGGTGAGAAGGGCGTGCCTGAGTCCCGAACTTTGCGACCAGGAGGTAATGCACAGATCCTCGGTGGTTTCCAAGGCAGTGGCAAACTGTTCCACCACCTCGGGTTGCTCCAAAAGATGCAGGAAGTCCTTGGTCAAGACACTGTCCACCGCAGCACAGTAGCCCTGCGTTTGCAGCCATGGCTCGAACTCCAGAAGCACATATTGCGCCATCGTGGAGACCGCTTCGGGTGCATCTTTGCTGGCCTCCAGGACTGACCGCTTCTCCAGCACCAGGTCACTGATGAGGGTCACCACTTTGGCCTTGCTCCGGAGCTCCACATCTGGACTTTGCAGAACCTTTATCAGAGCCTGTGTGCCCGAAGTGGAGAGGACTCGTTGCTGGGCTAGCGGAAACTTCCGCAACAGTGCTCCAAAGGCGTGAAGTGCGGCAGAGACTTCTGCAGCATTTCCAGAGCTGGTTAGGATCTGGGCCAGGTGGGAGCCAAAGCTCTTCTCGAACACCTTAATCTGCGCCTTGGGATTATTGCTCGCCAGGGAGCCCAACACCCGCATGGCAGAGACCCTTAGGGAGGTGTTTGTATCGTTGACCACAATGGGCAGGAGGACGTCGTCCAGCCCCCCATTATCGATAAACATCAGGGCATTGTCGATCTGGTGCAGCAGGTACTCCAGGTTCTCCAGGCAGTCCAGCTTGGAGCGCATCTCTGACTCCAGCGGCGTCTTGCTGAAGTTCCGATACTGATCGATCAGTTGGACAATCAGCTCTCCGTCTGTGCGAAAGTTCTTCTGGAACTCCTTGTAGGCCTTGCGCAGCTCCGCGTAGCTCTTCTTCTGCTCCTTGACCCTACGCAGGGACTCCTCGATGATGTCCGGCTTGTAGTCTAGGGCCAGGGGTTCGTTGTCATCCTGATCCTTCTGGTCTCCCGGTTGACTCTGTAGAGCAGTGCCACGTTCGCTTTCGTCCAATAGTTTGGCTTCCTTGAGTCCGTTCTGCATGTTGATGCGCACGTGGAGACCCTTGGGAATGGCTTGACCTGAAAATGAGGATTCCCCACTTAGTACACGTCATCGGAGAGTTCAAACGGCTAGCCCTTACCTTCCGCAATCACCTGCCATTCCTTGGTGGCCACGAATTCACTTGTTTTGTTGTCCGTTTCCGCTGCCGCCGCCACTTGCAGGCTTCCCAGGATCAGGACACTGGCCAGGAGGCAAACTATCCGCTTTCCACTCATGCTGATTCAACTGCCTTGTCTCCAGAATGGGTCCAAATTGTATTTCACCGGGTTATAAATAAGTTTCGTGAGGGTTTTGAAATTAGAGGTGGAGAAACATCGATGTTAACATCATGTTATCGAAGTTTTCAAGGCATCGGTAATCGATGTTTGGCACGCCAAACATGGTGTGCCCGTTGGCTGCTCTAATAATTATACCACATCTTTGGAAGAGTTCCGAATGGAACCAGTCAATAACGGTTACAATTTGATTTCATATTTAAATATAACTTTTTTTATAAAAGGAAATTTCCTCAGCATGAAGCCCTCTAATTTTAAAATTATAAAGGTTAAAAAGACTACTGTAATTCTTACTTTTACATGTAAAAATCCCACTTTTTTTACTTTCGTCCACGAGGGCTGTATAAATTACCAATTTGAAGAGAAAATAACAGTCTATTTACGCTTGCCCGCAATGTATCTAAAAATCAGACAAATTGCAAAAATAAATACTAAAATATCTTAATAGGTCATTTAAAATAAAAATAACAAATAATTATTATTTACGGTCCGTGGAACTTTCTAGTCTATGAATTTTAAAAACACAGATGGAAAAATTTATTGGTTGGTAGCTATTAATAACTGTCATCACAAATCTATTCCGATAGGCGTTAGTTTTTAAAAACAAGATCTAATTTGCACCACTATAATAATGTTTAGAAAAGGAATTGGAAGACAAAAAAATTAATGCCATTCAGAACCGTCAAAATTAAACCAGAATTCCAGAAAAATTCCCAAACTCATCATGATTTCCTAAACAAATAAAACGTAACATCATTCACAAGTTTTCCACGACTCACAAAGTGGATGGACTAGTTATGTACTATTTATTTAAATTAAAAGCCGAATCATGTTTACATCAGATGAATCAGATTCAAACACAACTAAATCAAAGATGCAAATTTATTCATAGGGCAGCCCGGCGTAATAAAATAAACGCGTGTTCACATATATTAACAACTTTGCCATATAATTCTTTGACGCCCCAAAATTTTAGACCGCAGTAATCCCGGTGTCTACGACAGCGTCTAGGAATTGGCTAAGCAAACAATGCAAAGTGCCCAGCTAAGGTATGTGGACTCACCTGGCGCCAATTGGATGGGTAAATAAACAAAATGCCGGTTTCATGCCAATTTCATAATATAGTATATAAAGCAATCACACCGCGTATGCTAATTGCCGATGACGAACGCCAGAAGCCTTTAACTACAATTTGGCAAATTAAATTTAAATACACTCCGGCCAGCTCCAAACGCCGCCTGTCAGAATAGTTTGAAAGTGAAGCCAATAAAGCCGGGGGGCAACTTTTAGCCGGTGAATCCATTAAGAGTGCCGTTGGAACCAGTTTCGAACCATGTCGTCTTAAATTCCCGATGATGTCTAATTGGTTTATGTTCGGAATTGAGCCGTTGCCCAAAAAGATTTATCTTTGAATGGGGCAGAACGGAAATTCTTCGAGTTTCCAATGGTTACTAGCCTTGGGATGCAACATTCTTCTCTTAAAAGTAATGAAGATAAATATATGGATACTTTTATACTAGCCCTGACATGTAGTTCATTTAATTTAAACATGATATTTAGCCCCAAATAGTATTGCTATTTTTCAAACGATTTTTCAGTGAGTATCAAGAATCCTTTCCCCTGACCTATGCTAATGACTTCATTAACATTCTCTTCAAACCTGCTTGACCATTTAGCACATGTTATTCAAACTCACTTTGGAAATCCCAAAGGTTCTAAATCCCAAATGCTGATCTCAAAGCAAACACAAGATGGTTAATATAATCGCTGATAAGTACGAATAATTATTTGCACATCATTTTAAGTGCGAACAAAGCGCAGATTCCATTTCACAGAGTTTGGATCTATAAAAAGTACACAAAAAAACCGAAATAGTCTGAATTATAATGCATTATTGTAGGAAAAGGAGCATTCTATTATATTATAGCTCGAAAACTTGATGGCTGGTCGAACATTAAAATTTATAGAATCACTTTTAATTTTTCGCTGCCTTTTTGTGCCAAGCCATTGTTATTGTTTATTGTTATTTGTTGATATTCTGGCGAAACCAAGCACATGCTAATAATATTAATTAATAATATTGTTGCTGCCAATTCTGGCTAGGGGTGGCTACTATAATGATGATGATCATAATGAGTAGGAGAAGCCAAAACACAGAACGAAAGAGATATACGAATAAATATAAATAGCCACCAATCAGGCGGGCAGCAACAACAACAAGGGCCAAGACAAGTCAGGAATGAATAAACTATGAAGTGTACTGGTTGTCGGCCACTTCGCTCCGTCGTTCTGGCCGATCAGAAATTTTATAAATGCCGCCGTCAGTCCAGAGCCAATTTACAGTTTGCCATTGAACCTGGTCGGGCGTTCGCCAAACTATCGAACGGGTGAATTTCGTAGTGCCTCTTAGAGATCGATCCAAAATGATGCTGCTGCTCCAACTGGGCTCCGTGGCCCTGCTCTTCTGTTTGGCCAGTGGTGCCACCAATTTCCGTGAGTCCTTTTGCTGGGCTTAGTCCCCTTCGTGAGCCGTGCTAATCCGGGCTTATCCTTGCAGCTCCCGAGCTGCCCCGCTGTCGGATGGGCGACACCAGCTGCATCATCAACGTATCCCTCATGCTCATCAGTCAGTACGCAAAGACTGGCTACCCGGCGGCTGGGTTCCCCCAGGTTGAACCCTTCCTAATCAAGCGCTTCGACATCTCCGACGGGCGCACTGGCTCCCTGAACCTTAAGCTCAATTTTAAGGATGTGAACGTGGAGGGCCTGTCGGGAGTGAAGTTCGATAGAGCTGTGTGAGTATTAAAAAAAGAAAAATATCAGATATTCAGTTTCTCATTTGTAATAAATAATAGTAATTTACTTATTTATCAATGCAAAGTTTAACAGATTTTTGAACTAAAAACCAAGCTTTATTTTTAGCGATAGAGATCTTATTAGGATTATTATTCTTACTTTAAGAAATATGTTCTTTATTTATATACTATTTAGCTTATTGACCCATCCTCCTTGAAATTCTTCTAGTGGCTTTGGCGCAGATCCTGCCACCAGCAAGTTTGAGATGTACGGATCCTTTCCCAAGATCGTTCTGAAGGGCAAGTACGTGGCGGATGGACGCATCCTGATCCTGCCCATTCGCGGCGATGGCGATGCCGAGATCATCCTGCACAATCCCAAGTTCTCGGTGAAGTTCAAGCCGGGCACCCAGTTGCGCAATGGACGCAATTTCCTAAGCGTGGACAAGCTCAAGGTGCTTGTGGAGCCACAAAAGTAAGTGAAATTGGGATTACTATCCATTCAAGTTCAGCTATAAATGTTCTTTGTTTTTTTGTTTCCTACCAGGATGAATATCCGACTGGACAACCTCTTCAACGGCGACCAGGCCTTGGGAGCCAACCTGAACCAGTTCCTCTACGACAACTGGACGGAGGTGTGGAACGAGCTGCATCCCTCCATCCACGTAGCCATCGCCGAGATCATGAAGAGCGTGCTGACGCAGCTATTCAAGCGGTTCGCCTACGAGGATCTGTTCCTGGAGAACTGAGCCCTAGGTCGTCCGACATTAGGCTAAGTGTACGAGTATTTCCTCACCAGCATTTCACACACATGGGGCGTTGCATTCCGGCCATTGACATATCATCGTATCTGCTAAGCTAAGCTTTAAATTGTAGAAATAAAACAAACATAATGCGAAAACTGGTTGTGCTTCTGCGGGGGGCTATTGTTAAATCAAGCGTAGATCTCGGCATTTGTATTTAATTATAGAACAAATATATTTCATAAATAAAACGTTCATTATTTGAGTTGATCAATTTTCAAATGAACAGATAAAAATTACTAAAATTTAGGGCGAATAATTTTGTATGTATACATATATATATATGTTGATAATCATAAATAAATCAAAACACAATTCTTAAGGCAAATAATCGAAATACTTAACTTTTGAACCTATTCGAGCTGTATTCGGTATTGTAATAAAATGGTCAAGTAACTGACCATGGCCGAAAGGAATTCCATGAAGAGTTCCTTGGATATATTAAAAAGACCAAGCGGGCGCACTCGAAACTCGTACACACTCAATTCTATATAACACCATTCCAACTGCAAAAAAAATAAAATATATATATTTTACATTGTAATACTAAATTATAATTCTGTTCATTTACATACGTTTTTTTGCCAATTTCGAATTTTGCTAAGATTGGAATTATCCAGCATCAACAGTCGAATTTCACTAGACTTCACCACTGCCCTTTGGACCGACCAAGCCAAAATAAATATGTTTAACAACTAATTCACAGTGTTTGAGCATAAGAGAATCATATCATATTTGCTTCGGATAATGACTAAATATGCAAAAAGAAGAGAGCACATACCATTATAGCCCAATCCAAAAACAAGTGGAAGATCATATACTTTTTGGAATGCAGATGCTAAGGAATTAAGGTCCCTGTAAAGATCCAAACACTTTCTAACGTTTTTTCGGGTCTTTCTAAGTTTTCCATTAGTCGGCTGTAAATCCAAAGTCCTCAGTTCGGATCTAACAAAATCGTTTATATCGCTATATAGCAGGGCCAAACTTATATACCACAAACAGGCGAAGTATGTGAGCGTTTTAATGCCAAAGGATAAATAGGTGTCAGCAAATACGGCAATTATTTCACGCGGGTTCCAATAGGGTTTAATCAAATTTAGGATGTAGATCTCCTCGTGTATGAAGCTGAGTATCATAAAAAATAAAACTATTAGTTCATTTTTTCCTCCAAAGCCATTATGATTTCCATTGCAAAAGTCTTGAACTCGTCGAAAAAGTTGTAGTAAATTATTCACCAACTTAGTGACCTCTTGTCCTTGCAATATCTGCAATCTTAGGATGGACATACAACAGCCAAATTGGAGCACGAAACGGTTAAGGTGTAGAAAGTGTTCCGTATACTCAACGTTTGGCACATCCCAACTGAAGAACATTGTCATAAATATAGTTTGACATCCTATGCGAATAATGGCAGAAGACCACTTCCACTTGAGCGAACTATCCTCCACCGCCACTCGGTTATCAGAAGTGGTTTTAAGTCTCAAGCCCACTGCTCCCATAAATCTGAATATGTAAAGACTCCATCGCAGAATTCCAGCGGAAAGTTTTGGAGTATTTAACTGACGAAGTACCCCGAACATTATACAAGAGGTTACAGCCGCGATTAAGCTGATAGAAAAATTGTAAACCTGAAAATATCCACCTCGAAGTGCATTACTCTAATGAAAATTTTGACATCATAGATTGGCAATATTTATGGTGTCGAATGCATAGCCACGATTAAGGTGAAAGTAAAAAATGATAGTTTAAAAATATGCACTTCGAAGTGCATTTAACTAATGAAAACTTGGACATCATAGATTGACAATATTTGTGGTGACAAATCCTTGACACGTTTTTAGATATCTTCATCTATTAAACGCATTGATCACCCACGCGTTTCCTTTATAAGACCTTCCTCTAAAAATAAAATACTTAATTGCTCTTTTAAAACAAGAGAGAACGCTATAGTCAATGTCCTCGACTGTCAGATACACGTTACTCAGCTAAGGAAAGTGCGAGGGAGATGGAGATAGGCATGCAGCAAATCGGCTGTTTCCGAAGTGGCACACTTTGTTTGCCTATAACTTTTTAATGAATGGTATGATTTAAAAAATTTTTGGCATTTAGATGGGTATTCGTAATCAGAACAATATCTCAAATGCACTTTTATAAAATTAAAAAAAATGTGGACGCCAGACAGATAGATTTCGAGTTATGGGCGTTTGTGGTCATTAGACTGGGCGTGGCACTCCGCTGAATCAAACGTTTTAATTAATCCTAATTCCTGTGAATTAAAAGCATAATACCTCCATAGCATTTAAAATACTCTGTATAAAGAACTGCGCCCTAATATATCAATTATTGCTATCAATTTCAACAATTTGTCAAATCAAGCAGATTTGCAATTTACAGTTATGCATGTGAATGTAAATTATTTATTCAATGAATGCGGCTTTAATGATAAATGTGATCAACGAAAACCGCTTAAATGCATTGCGGGTGTTTATGTGTTTGTGAGTTGGCTAGTCTGCCAATTTCACATTAAGTGTAAAGTTATTTATGAGCGTTAATGCATATTCAACTAATGACCCTAAAACACACGCACATTTGATTTTAAGGCTCTTTACTATGTGCAAACATTGGGACGGTAATGCCATTAAAACCATCTCGCATGTAAAATAGAATGAAATGAAATTAAATGAAATAGTATCGCTGCCTAAGCGTTCATTGATTTAAGCAAATATTAGTTTAAGTTTGTGGCATATTTGCCAATTGTTAATGAGAGACAGTGAAATATCAACAGCTGTCATAAACAGGAAGGGTTCAGGGTTTGAAGTCGTCAAAGGGATCAAAGTGTCCTTATCCCCGAGACTCTTACTGCCCGCCCCCCACTTTGCAAACGCTTACCACTTGCCCCATTAGAGTATGTCACTAATTTTATAATGCAAGCCGCAAGACATAAAATCTACAAGGCCAACGTGCTTGAGAATACAAGTCAAGTATCTGAAGTGTGACAATCATACATACGTAAGTACAGTGCGCTCCATAAAACCGGAGTTAACTCATTAATTGGTAGGAATTTTGGACCTGAAATAACAATTTTAAAGTCCCCAAATTAAATGGTTATTCCTCTTTCAGAATGTATTTTAATACCAAACAGATAAATATAACTAAATAAAATAATATTTTATTGAAATTTATTTAAATCAGTTATAAAAATAAGATATAAATATATTTTAAATGAGTCATAAAAAATATTCAAGTTGAAAAAAACGAAGGAAACAATAATATATTACATTTAAATGATTTATAAGTATTAAACAAATTTATAATTAAATATTTAAAATGGAAATTGTAAAAAACTGTGAAAAGTAGTTTTTTTTTGTTTTTACCTATAAGGGCTAACCTTATATTATAATTAAGAAATTTGACATTAAGAATATACAACAAGTAAAAGAGTATTTCGGATTCTAAATGTTTGAGTAATAAGATAAAGCTTAATTTAATTTAGAATTAGGGTTCTGTCTCGCACTGTACTGCGGTTGTCCTGCTCTAATCGCCTGTCTTGGTCAGCATTTAGGTTCGTTTTTGTGGCTTCTCCCTGCTCGTCTTTGTGGGAATGGATATATCTGGGCTTTTCAGTGCGGGTCCTGTCAAATTGCTGCGTTGACAACTGACATGTGCCTACAGTCTCCTAGTCCCACCATCTGGTTCCTGGAGAAACGTTAGCTTTATTATAGCCTTTAATTACTGCTGGCCAGTTAGCCAGTTTGCCAGTTGTCACGGCCAGCAAACTTAATGCCGCTTTCACTTGCTTGAATTTCAAAACCTTTCGTGTTTACGGCATTTGCTTGTAATTTTATTACATTCCTTTCTCGCTCTCTCCTCTACCTCTCTAGCTGTCTCCTTCTAACGCAGAGTGGGCTTCTATTTCAGCCTGTCTCTTCATAAATAATTAATGCCTTTGAGGTATGTAAACTAACAGGATACGGTTGTTCAACGACATGTCCTTGTGTGCGTGTGCGAAAAGGAGTGTCTACTTTATGTCCTGTAAATAAATTTGAGTGCGTAAGTGTAATTGTGTTTGCTTTGGCTAACAAGTATAACCTTCCTGCATATGTATAATGGATATAAAACCAAGACTTTCGGGTTAATGAGTGTATCTAGTTAACGGCTGTTAGTGGTCGAATACCACCAGGTTCATCAGACAGAGATAACAATTTGATATGGGACTACCCATCATAAAAAGTTGGTTACCTATGATTTTATTAGATTATAATATATGTGGTTTATTGAAGCATAAAATTCCAGTAAATTAATTTAAAGATTTGAGAACCCTTATAAAAGTTGCTATTTTACTAACCTTAGTGCATTTTAAGGGCAATAAGGTGCAAGCCCCATTGTCCGTAAGTAAACACCAGACACTTAAACTTAATTATAAACAATCCATTGATGGAACACAAACAGTCATCTTGGGCGACACCACTTTGATCAGCACTATCGAAATAATTGAATTTCAAAAGGCTTGCCCAAGAATTCTCGAGTATAAATGCTGGTGAGCCGACAGATGATATTTATGACAATGGTGTGTAATTTTAATACGCCAGCCAGCTTAAATGAAAAGCAAGCCAGGCCGCCGGAGAAGAGGCCACATTGCAACATTGCAGCAGGCGTAAATTGGTGTCTAATAAACACATAATCAAGGTTCATTTGCTGCAGGAGGCACTAAATTGCATTAGCACAAAGGCTGACATGCCACCACCTTCTACCTTCCACCTACCACCTCCCACCTTTCACCACCACCCACTTGCCACCTTTCGCCCGCACAGTTTGCCAACTTGTCGACAAATATGTGTGCAAGATATTTGGCCTACGGGCGTGTCGTATGGCTGCTCGATTTTCCGCCCAGCCCGAAAATCCGTGACAGTTTAGTTTATGGCCCATGGCAAGTTGGGGCGTATCTCAGTTACATTCGAATGCATTGCCCCGGCAAAGGCAACAACAAAGCAGAAGCATTGTAATGAGCTTATATGCTCCTTTGAGCCAAAGGAGTCTACTCAGGAAACTCAAGCCCCCCCCTTGGCGTACAAGCTCATGTAAGTTCCACAAGCTCATGATCAAATTTCACCGGTTAAATGAGCAAACACAAATCACAACATTCATCCAAATAATGACTAAACACATCCCTCAAATCAATAATGCCGGGCTTTATATTAGTTAATCTATATTAAAGCTCAAAGTCAGTTAAGTGTGAAATGAACAAAAACATTTACAAGCATGCCTCAGAAATCTCGTTGTAATGAATTTAAGCTTTAAAGATGTTCCTTCACTGGATTTTAAAAAATTGGTTTCTATGGCCACTTTTCCTAAAAAATACGAATGGTTTAGCCGTATTAAGCCTTTGGAAGTGCCTAAAAATGCAGAGTTACATACTTTGACCCTAATTTTCATTAAACTGTGATGTGATGAAAAATTATGAAGTTTGAGGTCGTAATCTAAAGATAAAATCCTTTCCGATTTTGTAGGATTCAATCTTAGGCATTTTTTTTCAATAATAATAAAAAAAGAAATATCAAAATTAATAATAACTATGAGAGAAGGATAGCTTTGAGTGTAGCTTTTATTCAGGACACATATAGAAATTATAACTAAAAGTTTTCTGCGCACGTTCTGCTCTGGAGTACGACTCTGTCCCGACTACTTAAATTTTCAGACTCTGGTAACATTATTGAAAGGGACTTATTCTACACTAATATGGGAAGGTTTGGTATATACTACATTAGGCGCTGTTCACATATGATTGAAAGGCCTTATTTTCTAGCAATTTTATCTGCAACTGAGTTACTAAAAATATGCAACTGGTTTTTGAGTCAGAACAGCTGCGGGGCAGACAGCTTCTAGGCCCTGGCATACATAAAGTTGCAATCAAAGAGGCCAATCCGACTGAGCCGTTGACCCCGGCCCACCACCTCGCCCCCATTGTCCACAACCACCCACGAGTCCAATCTCCCAAAAACACCAGGCAGCCATCCCGTGCACCTAGCCACTAATTGCTTTGGGCGTTGGAATGCCTGCCAGTTTGGCAGCCGGACAATGGCATTCGGGTTAGAGTGCTCCTCGCTGCAATCACGACCCCATTGTGACCTTAAGCAATTTCTGTGCCGGCTACTAATGTGTGCTACACTGCACTGCCACGCCCACTAATTACGGCAATGGCCGTGCCGCCCAGCGTGGGGGCGAGAAATTGTTAATTAATTATCAGTTGCAGCTATACTCTTTGTTGTGGGCTGGCTAATGCATTATGTTTATTGGAATTTCGTACAGAGCGGATGTTAACCCTCTAGTACGATGAATCGGAATCGGTATAGACCATCGGTTTGGCCTTGCGTCCAGCACTTGGGCTCTGGAAAGCCTCGTCGGAATCCGATGGGAGAATCTTCTTGCCCTTGGAAGTGCTGCATCGGGGTTCATCGGACAAATCGTCATCGGAAGCTGCCGCCAAGTTGACCTTAGAGTAGTTGTCCTCATCGTTTGACCCCTCTACATCTGACTGATTTTGGTTGATGTCCATATCGCTATCCGGATCCGTATCATCCGCGGTGCAGTGACGCATGGGCCTAGCCGGTGGCTTGCGTCGATTCATCTGAGTCTCGCGACGCTTCTCACGCTCCTCGAGACGCAACTGGGCCAGTTCCTGCTTGACGCGACGCTCATGATCCTGGGCAGGATCAACATCCGTGTTCATCAGCACCTTGACGCCCGTCTGTGGTTTATTCACGGCGCGATTACGCATACCCTGGACATGAGTCTGTCCGAATTCGGAGTCCAGTTTGGGACGCAGTGTCATCTTGTCCTTGATCGGTACCTGAGGTTGGTAGAAGCTCTCCAGGCGAACATACATGTGGTTTTGGTCATTGGTCACCGGGTGGTGCATCACATCGAAGACTTCGCCGCCCACATGAAAGGTCTCGCTGCCATCGGACCAGCGAACAATCCTGGAATTCGACTCCTTCAACTTATTTTCATCCTCCCTCCACCTTACTGTTGCTTTAAGACGATTTTTGAAATCCTCGCGAGCCTGTTCGTCTTTCAAATCCTCCGAAGTCATGGCATTTTTAAAGTCTTTAGCCACGTAAGCCTTGGATTCCACGGCTATGAAATGGGGCATTTTTAAATACTGCGGTTGACCATCGAGAAGGGCAGAGTTTTCAGCCGGTAGGGTGGCACTGAACTTTGCCATCAGCTTGTTTCCCAACATTTGGCGCTGTTGCTCTTCAATGGACAGTTGAGCGCCCTCAATTTGGGCAGTTTCTTCGCCACTGCTGTCGGAGATTTCCATCTCAGACCATATACTTTTCCCGGTTTGTTTTCCATCCTCCGAAGTATCCCCGAAGTAATTAGTATTTGTGTTCAGACCGCCAGTAGAGTTACACTCAACGTCTGGCGAAATCTTACCATCACTATCTGAGCTTGGACTCAAGTTATATCTGACCGCCTTAGGAGAAGATTTGTCATTTCCTTTCGGAGAACTCTGTTGAGAGCTAAGGCGAGGTTCAGAGCTCTGACTCGGGACTGGAGGAAAAGGCAAATCATCAAATACAATTTCATCCATTGGGATAAAGCTCGTGGAAGTATTAATGGGTACATCCCGATCGGTGGTCGGTAAATTTCCCTGAACGATATTTATCGATGGTCGCCATTTGTGCAGCTGACTGCCGGTTGGTTTGCCTAGTTCAGGGTTTCTGAAAAAATCATATAGGTTTAGTGAAGTAAACTAATATTTAAACACACAACTACCAACCTGTCAATGCTGCTTTTATTCGAGTCGTCTGCTGATTTCTTGATCCCTTTAGCAAAATACTTATCAGCATTTATGGATGGTCGGTAAGGACGTGGTTTGCTTGTGCCAACGTTGCTAGTGATTGAACCCACTTCTTTGTCTTCTTTGCTAAATACTTGCAGTTCCTCTCTGAAACTAACAACACGAGTTTAGTAAATTCGCCGTAATATATTTTACTGCAACACACCGATTTTTACGGCCAGTAGAACTATGATTATAACCCGGAGTACCGCTCGTCTTATCGTCGGTGACTAATGAAAAAATAAGTTTTTAATAACTTTTGTTTAAAGAATATTGTTCAACTATGCAAACCTAACGCGGCACTATATTGGGGATGTACACTGGGGTCGACCATAGTTCTCAAGTTTAAGGAAATTGTTTAAGAAAAAATTCGATATGACTTTTGTCGCAGCAAGAAAAAATTCGTCTGTTCACTTCGAGTGCAAAATAATTTATGCTTTGTCATATATGACAGCAAAGTCAAGTGACTTCATTTATCGATTAGTAAAGCACAGCATAGGGTAATCACCTTTTATTTTAACAATTAGTGTTGGTAAACTTTGCAACTTTGATAAAAATAATTTACACTTATGTTTTGAAATCAAAAATCATATAGGTTTGGTGAAGTAAACTATATTTTACCCACCGGTCAATGCAGCTTATATTGGAGTCATCTGCTGATTTCTTGATCCTTTTAGCAAAATACTTATCAGCATTTATGGATGGTCGGTAAGGACGTGGTTTGCTTGTGCCAACGTTGCTAGTGATTGAACCCACTTCTTTGTCTTCTTTGCTAAATACTTGCAGTTCCTCTCTGAAACTAACAACACGAGTTTAGTAAATTCGCCGTAATATATTTTACTGCAACACACCGATTTTTACGGCCAGTAGAACTATGATTATAACCCGGAGTACCGCTCGTCTTATCGTCGGTGACTAATGAAAAAATAAGTTTTTAATAACTTTTGTTTAAAGAATATTGTTCAACTATGCAAACCTAACGCGGCACTATATTGGGGATGTACACTGGGGTCGACCATAGTTCTCAAGTTTAAGGAAATTGTTTAAGAAAAAATTCGATATGACTTTTGTCGCAGCAAGAAAAAATTCGTCTGTTCACTTCGAGTGCAAAATAATTTATGCTTTGTCATATATGACAGCAAAGTCAAGTGACTTCATTTATCGATTAGTAAAGCACAGCATAGGGTAATCACCTTTTATTTTAACAATTAGTGTTGGTAAACTTTGCAACTTTGATAAAAATAATTTACACTTATGTTTTGAAATCAAAAATCATATAGGTTTGGTGAAGTAAACTATATTTTACCCACCGGTCAATGCAGCTTATATTGGAGTCATCTGCTGATTTCTTGATCCTTTTAGCAAAATACTTATCAGCATTTATGGATGGTCGGTAAGGACGTGATTTGCTTGTGCAAACGTTGCTAGTGATTGAACCCACTTCTTGGTCTTCTTTGTTCAATTTTTGCAGCTCCTCTCTGAAACAAAAAAATACGAACTTAGTAAATTCGACGTAATATATTTTCCGTCAAAACTGTGCAAATTTAGGAGCGAGAACAGAGGTGGACTTTTAAAATATTTTTTAGTGCATACTGGACTGAAGAACTCGAGCCCTGCTATATTATACCCTAATTATAAAAGCAAAAAAATAAAATGCAGCATTAATTTAATATTGTGCAGACAGCAAGGACCTCAGCGCTTTATGCCTTTTGCCCACTTATATACTCATATGACATGCCAGTGCAATAAAACATGCATGTAAACTACTATTTAAACACACAACTACTCACCCGTCAATGCGGCTACTATTATAGACGTCTGCTGATTTCTTGATCCTTTTAGCAAAATACTTATCAGCATTTATGGATGGTCGGTAAGGACGTGGTTTGCTTGTGCAAAGTTTGCTAGTGATTGAACCCACTTCTTGGTCTTCTTTGCTAAATTCTTGCAGTTCTTCCCTGAAACTAACAATACGAGTTTAGTGAATTCGTCGTAATATTTTCCTGCGACTACTGCGGCCAGTAGAACTATGATTATAACCCGGAGTACAGCTCATCTTATCGTCGGTGACTATATCTAAACACACAACTACCCACCCGTCAATGCAGCTTATATTCGAGTCGTCTGCTGATTTCTTGATCCTTTTAGCAAAATACTTATCAGCATTTATGGATGGTCGGTAAGGACGTGGTTTGCTTGTGCCAGCGTTGCTAGTGATTGAACCCACTTCTTGGTCCTCTTTGCTAAATTCTTGCAGTTCCTCTCTGAAACTAACAATACGAGTTTAGTAAATTCGCCGTAATATATTTTCCTGCAACACACCGACTATTACGGCCAGTAGAACTATGAATATAACCCGGAGTACCGCTCATCTTATCGTCGGTGACTAATGAAAAAAATACGGTCTTAATAACTTTTGTTTAAAGAATACTGTTCAACTATGCAAACCTAACGCTCCACGATATTGTGGATGAACACTGGGGTCGACCATAGCGCTTAGGTTTAAGAAAACTGTTTGAGAACAAATTTGATCTGGTTTTAGTCGCAGCAGGAGAACATTCGTCTGTTTACTTCGAGTGCAAAATAATTTATGCTTTGTCATATATGACAGCAAAGACAAGTGACTTGATTATCGATAAGCAGGGCACCTTTTATTTTTACAATTAGTGTTGGTAAAGACACATTACATTGCAACTCTGGTATGCTTGAAAATCGGTCAAATTTAAAAGCGAGAAAAGAGGTGGACTTTTAAAATATTTTTTAGTGCATACTGAACTGAAGAACTCGAGCCCTGCTATATTATCCCCCAATTATAAAAGCAAAAAAATAAAATACGGCATTAATTTAATATTGTGCAGACAGCAAGGACCTCAGAGCTTTATGCCTTTTGCCCACTCATATACTCATATGGCATGCCAGGGCAATAAAACATGCATCTCCATTTCCCACTCGTCATCGACTCTTGACGATATGGCCCGGCCATAAGCCCTGTGCTTTTTTGCATTTTAATATTTTTATGAGTTCTCGATTAATTAAAACTCAACAACGAGCACCTGCCCAGCGAATCGGCGGCGCCGCGGAAATGCATATTGCATATTATCCGGCGAAGAGGTCATCAACTCGAAAGCAGGACAGCCGCCGGCGAATGCGGATCAAATGATTTATTCATAAATTCCGCATACGCTAAGGGCACAAAAAATGCTTGTAAGCCGCAAATAATTATTTACAATAAGTCGGCGGTAATGAGGTTGCCGTGGCAGCCGTAAAAACATGAACCTGTCGTTAAGGATTTTCAGCGTAAATTAATAAACGGGGAATTAAACGAATGTGCCGAGTAGTCGATGTCCTTATACGGGTGCAATAATTGCCTGTCAACTGCTTAACGCTTATCTTGCCCCAAGCACTGAACGGTCAGTTGAATGGTAATCAAATTAATACGAGTGCTGCTCTTAAAGAGGTACTTAAATGTATGTTATTTATATGAATACATCTTTAAATTGTGGGTGCCCTGAATTAATTTACCCACGAGAAATGAGTCAAAAATAAATTCGATTTTGTATTCTCCCTGTCAAAAACTACCATTTAATTTTCGGCTTTCGTCTCCAACACAACAAGTCAAATTCGCTCCAAAATTCTGTTTTTATATTTTCAAAATTATCAAAGTTCTTTTAGATTTACCTTTTAAATTACAACATGGCTTACAGCGGCATGGGGCTACCGGGTATTTTTTGTCCGGATGTAAGACAACCTTTATAAAGACTTATTATTTATAAAACCTAATTTATTTTGATATACTAGGAAAGCGTTGAGCAGTTTGCAAGACTTTACGGAAGTGATAATTTTAGCAAAATTATGATAATGGCCACGAGCAGTCGTCATCCTCATGATTATTTGAATAATCTGCAGGCACCAGTTCATCAGTCACCGGGAATATTGGAGGTCGACCCATCAAGGTATTATGGAAACCCACCACCTACTAAAGAGCGAAATCCTAAAGTTAACCCTCCATATGGTGTTCAGTAAGGACTATAAAAATGGTTTCCTTTATATATTTGTAATTTCCCTTATTATTTAGTCCTGTTCAAGGATCCAGACCCGTAATGCATGGGGCCTGTGGTGACCATTATAGACCCCCGCCAAATTTTAAGAGCTATAAGCCCGAATATCCCTTGGGACACCCCCATCCAGGAGTCCAAAATCAGCCGCAAATGCAGTACCATCCTCAGCAGTCGCAGCACCTGAATTTTATATATCCACCTCCACCTGGACCCAGATTTCCTTGGCTTTAAATCACGTATTCCGGCCAAATCCATTTAAGCAATCGACTTCGCTTGTTTGTAAGTTTTTGTTGGTAACGGTTCAGCCATGACGTGCATTTCTGTATCGAAAATCTTATTTTGTATCACAATTATGCATAAATCAATATTTAATTCACAGTACAAAGAGTTTTCATTGAATTCAATAATAAAACTGGCATTTTCACCTAAACGAGATAAGTACGCAATGGGGAAAAAAACCATTTTAACGGTTTAAAATAATTCTCACAAAAGTTTTTGCACAAAACAAGGGGCAAACAAGGGGTACAAAAAAGAGGCGAAAAAGATCCAAAATCGTTTGTATTTTCCTTCTGTTTGTTTGGGAGCTCTCAACTGCGCCATTCAAGTTTGTTAAACATTAAAATGGAGCTGCAATAGAAAAACGCTAACTAAACGCGAGCAGACAGCAAACAAAGCATCCCAAAAACGAGCGTGTGTGAGTGTGGGTAAAACCAACACAAACACATTCCAACCCACACACACACTGCCATCGCCTTCCAGGCATAGTGCAAAATAAACCAACAGCAAAAATAAATATTAAAATTTGTGCAATAAAATGCCGAGCAATAAAACTAAAATAAGTGAGAGGAAAACCAAAAAAAAAAAAAAAAAGAATACAAAAATAAATGGAAAGCAGTAGAAGTTTTATCCCCTCTGCGAGTGTGTTAGTGTTTTCTTATAGACCGCCAGCGGAAGTGGCAAGCGCCTCAAGTTGCGAAACACATACACACTTGCCGCACCAACACTAACACCACCACCCACTACTGCACCACCCTTCAGTTCCAAAAAAAAAGTTTCACTTGTGAATCACCTTGTGAATCCCGTGGGACATGTCCTCTTGCACAAGTGAAGAACAAGTGACGCTCCATATAGAAAATTGTATGGGATGTCCGCATTTTCACAAGTGAAAATTCAAATGAAAATTTTTCGAAGTCCTACGGGAATTCACTTGTTCCTTATACTCATTTTTCGTATGGCCTGTCACGTGCCGGTGACTCGTCCCAAGTGAATCACTTGGGAAAATCAGAATTTTTCCTTGAGTTTTCACTTGTGAAATCACTTGCAAGGGACACGTCCCAAGTGAAACACTTGGGAAAATCATAATTTTTCCTTGAGTTTTCACTTGTGAAATCACTTGCAAGGGACACGTCCCAAGTGAATCACTTGTGAAAATCAGAATTTTTCCTTGAGTTTTCAATTAAAAAATATAGAATTTAATTCATTTCATTTTAATTCATTTTAATTATATGGTACTATTTAGATTTTCAAAAATTGTACAATTATTGTTTCTGTTTTTTTGCTTCGTAAGCTTATTTTTAACGTTAGACATCGCCGTTCTTAAACCTTTGTCCGGGTCCTCTGAATCCTTGGCCAACGCTCCTGAAAAGACATATGTTTAAAAAATGCGTTTTATTTGTTTAATTGTATATTTACCTTTTATAGCTTGTTGCAGAATTTTTATTGGCACAAAACATTTCGTCATCCACTTTCGGCTAACGGAACCCATTGAATACCTTCAAAATTTACGTACTTTAAACTAAGATCAATGCACAACATCTTAAACTTAATGTAGCACTTACCTGACTTTATTATATTAACTAAACGATTAAAGTAACTCTGCTGCGCACCATTAAAATTGATGCTTCCCTTTCAATCACTCAAACAGAATGCACCAAGTCTTCTCACCCCTTTACTAGATTTCTTTTGTTTTCTCTTCGCTGTTGGCGCGTGCCACTGCACCTATACCCTTTCTAAAGTGAAATATATCCGACTATATAGTTTTTACTCCTTGAGTAAAAAATACAATACGATTTTTTTTAAAATGTTAATACTTAAATGTTTTAAATACTTAAATCCATTTTAACGGACTAATTTTCTATAACCTAACTAAAAAATTATATTGTAGTAAGAATGTATAATAAGTAAATATAACATTATAAGTAAATTCAATTTACTTAATTTTACTATAATCAAATAATTTACTTTTATAAAACAATATTAGTTGTTTTTTTTTGATATACAATAATGCTCCTAAAATATTAGGGCACTCACATGTCGCTGCGCCACGAAAATTTTTCCGCCGAAACACTAGTCGCTAGCCGAACATAACGGAGAGACTCAAAAGAAATAACGGACCTGCCGAAATTTGTCTCTGAGAGCGCCGAGTGCAGGCAGATTATAAGACAAAGAAAGAGAGGGAAGCTCCGAATATCTGCCTCACTTTGTTGCACGATCGTTTTCGTAGGCAGTCTTCTACACTGCGCCGACTTCTCTGCTGACGTCAACAGCGGCACAGCGTTTTAGGCACAAAAAAAAAAACAAAAAAGCTTTTTGCCTTGAGCCATGTCACCGCGTCCCTACTGCAGAACTGAAGGGCACTTACTGTCTGTCTGCCAGTGTTGAAAAGCACCCGATGGGCAGGGTAGGGGTTGCCAGCCAGTTAGTTTATCGCGCTTACCAAATCTGAGGAACCGGCAGGATATGGAAGGCACAAGGACGGGGCGCAAGTATTACAAAGTATATGAAAATAAAGAATCTGGATTGGCGAGGAGGCCAAGCAATCGCCGAGAGAAATGCTGTAAAAATAAGTTTAATATATCCGCATTAAGATTGCCCAAGATTACCACTCCCCGAGTTCACACATACACACTTGCACAGTGCTGCCACATTCTTAGCTCGAAAAAAGTGCATTCAGTTTGAAGCTAAAACCTTTTTGCCATATGATACTTTATTTAAAATTACAGGCAGCCTTAAAAAAATGAGGTCTACAGCTTAAGAAAATTATGGGAATTAAATAATAATAAATCAAAGCGTTTGCGGTTAATTTGTCTTGAATTTTAAAAATATAAATAGTTAGTTAATCCAAAGTCAAGTGAGTGTTATATGACCTTCAAGATTTAAGTTATTACAACAAAGTCCCTAAAAGTTTAAACACGATACTTTTCCGTTTTATTAAAAAGTATTTCATATTTTCCGTTTTTATTATTTTGTTACTATTATTACAAATAGTTGACTTAGGGATATAGAATTTTAATTTCCTTTTTTTAATAACATACAAAATTTTACAATAAAAGAAAAATTATCAAAAAAAACACCAAGCTGGTCACACTGGCTCCTACAAGATTGCGCTTGTCGATGGCGAAATTCACTTTGCGGTTGACTCTCGCCTTAAAGTATGCAACGTTCTCGTGCACTTTTTTGGCCCGGCAAAGCAGGCAAACATCACGAGGGAAGCAAGAAGTCAAAGCAAAGCAACCATGTGATGTGTGGGAAAGAATAACAAGAGGAAAAATCGAAGCGGAAAAAGCGCTTGGGGAAAATGCCAAGTGAAGGACACCAAGGGGGAAATAGGGGTTGGGGGGAAGGAAAAGCCAACACCTGCCAGCGGAAAGCGGAAGTGGGCGGGGCTTGTTGTGCGGGCTGTTTTCGGTTGCCGCTGCCGCTTGGAATTCAATAAAGTGCCGCAAATGATTACTGCATAAAAGAAATGTGCAATCCTGTTTGCCGGTGTTTTTGCAGCTTGTGCATCCGGCAGCATTTAGGCGATGAGAAATGGTGGAGGAAGATAAAAGTTATGTGAGCACAATTGCGGTTAAAACAATAGAGCTGTCCGCAGAAGAAAACACTGTTTTCATTGTTTATTAAATGGGTAAGAGAATCCCAAATGCATTACAAATATAACTTAAATAGAGTTCATAATTTGTATTTTTAATTCAGATAGTTATAATGCATTTTTTTGGCAAACTGTAAAATACATTAGGTGCATAATAGTTTAAGATCTTTCCAACCATAGCATAGAACTTTTTATAGCTACACTCAAAAAAAAAATCACCATAAATATTAGAAAATCGCCCGTGATTTCAAAACGCCATTGAATTAAGAAATATTTTCTTGATTATAGAAAAAATGCCTACAATTTAAGGAATTCGCCATAATTTTTTTTTTTTTTTTGTAATGAAGAAGAGGAAGAATCCCACTTTTTCTTCAATTAATGGCGAATTTTTCTTGATTTTTTTTCTTGAAATAATGGTAAATTCTTACTTAAATTTAGGAAAGAAATACCCATATTTTAAGAGAAAGTGACTTTTTTTTATACATTTTGATGGTGGTCTAGCTGGTAAAGACGTCCGGTCAATAAACAATCGAACAAAAGTACCTGGTTCGAGCCCACGCCACGGCAAGTGTACCCTTTGTTTATTTATTTTTCTTTTTTTTTTTAATTTATGTAATTTTTATTCTTATTAGTTTCACTTTTCTATTTACCAAATTGTTTAAACGGTTGTTAAAAAGGTTTAGATTAGAATAAACGTTATTTGTATGCGTAAAGCTGGACCAAAAGCACCTTAGCCCTCTTTAGTCATTGTATGACAAGAAGCACGCGTGGCCGAATGGTTAAGACGTCTGGCTATGGTGTGAGCAGTTGCGGGTTCGAGTTCACGCCGGGGTTGTCTGAGGTAAGGATTTTTCCATTTGTTATATTTATTTATATGTTTATAAAAAGTATTTATATAAAATAAATCTTTAATAAATTCAGGTAAATATAAAAATTTTCAGACTGTAGTAATAATTGCCATTAAAATTAGAAACGGTTTTATCCATTTAAAATTCAACATTGGTATACAAAACCAACCAAATTCCTCAAATGTAAGGTGTAAAATGTAAAATGATGTAATCTTACATCATAAATATTTTTTTTCTTATTTTAATAAATTTTTCCTTAATTTTAAGGTTTTTTACCATACATTTAAGAAAAATTTGTCATTATTTCCAGAAATGGCAAACCATAAATTCAAGAAAATTATTTATTTAAAATAAAGGTGAGTCGCCGTTGGATGAAAATCATAGGCGATTTTCTTGATTTAAAGGCGAATTTCTTGATTTAAGGGCGATTTTTTTTTTGGGTGTACAGTTACTAATAATTATATATATATATATATTACCATATTTTACCATATATTTAAAACTAGTCATTTTTATGGTTGTGGAAACATACTTACAAATCCCACCTCATCTGTAATTGTGCTATGCAAAGGAATAAGCAAATGACGAATGGCTATGCAGCGGTAATAAAAATTAGATTATTCCATCAGGACTGAAAT